CATACCAACTGAGAATTTATTGCAATGATTTTAAAATCAGTTGATGTATCTGACATATTATGACATAACATTGATCTTTTATATGTAGTCTTTAGAGCCATAGGCTATAATATGTTTTTTTTAGATAAATTGCTCAGAGACCAACCAGTTGGACAGAGGCTATTTATAGGCTATGTACAAATCATCCAAGCACCCAATTCCTAGCCATTTCTAATATAGGCCACATTTCATTAACATTGCTAAATATTATTAAACTGGAAATAAATTAAAGATCCATCTTTGATTGTCAAAAGAATTCCAGGTTCAGTTCCCTCTCAGCCAATTAGATTTCACATAGTATTTTCATCGGTCAGTTGTGGAGGTCTGATTGTTTAAAGCTTTATTTATATAGCGCCTTTTAAAAGTGTTTACAAAGTATTTTACAGAGAGATGCATATGTGCATTCACAGAAAAGAAAAGACAAATACAAACATAAAAGAGATAAAGTAATAAAACAAAGTGCAATAACCAGTTTATGTTAAAACAAAAATACAACAATAAAAAACAAGGAAAGGCCTTTAGTGAAAAAATCTGTTTTCTTTTGACAACGTTTAATTCAGGTGCGAAAATAATTAATATCTAGCGCATGAGCACAGAGAGATTTGCGAGTGCACAGGACAGTTTGAGTGAGAGGAGAGACAAGTTTTAAGTGCGCCCACACTCTCTGGGCGAGAGCAGCGTGTATCTGAGCACGCGAGTCAGGTTTTGTGCGAGAGCAAAGGAAATCCGCGTGCAAGCGGAGAGATTCGCTCGCGCATTATATTAATGTGCTTTCGCGCTACAATAATGCGCTCTGGACATTTGTCATTAAAATAACGCCATATTTTTCAGCCTCCGCCGCTTGACGTAGCTGCCCTGTTCTGGGGAAAAATACAGTTTATGTGGAATTTCCTGGAACATGAAAAGGCTGGACACACATTCAGCCACACACAGACATGCAGAACTGTCAAGGTCGAGGACATGCTCACACACAGCACAGAGATAAATACCACTGTAAAAACATACCGTGGTCTTCTTTTTACTGTATATCGTGCTCTTTTACTGGGAAACTAATACCATCCTTTTAACACCATATGATCTTATTTTCCCATTAGTAAACAAACAGAAACAGATTTCATAGTCCAAATCACCCTCCAGGAAATCAATCTATAAAAAAATAGGGTGTTATGTACTAGAAAATCCTAAATTTAATCTATTTCATTAGTTTTTTTATAAAAAATAAAAGTCATGGAACAAACTAGCAATGTACATGCATTCAAACCCATTGAGGCTGACAAAAGATCTCATAATTAAGACACTTTGAAAAAAGCCCAGGGCAGCTGTTGAACAGTACAGTAATGAGGTTCATGGCACACTATTCAAGTGCAAATGAGAAAGCTAAAACACTGAAAGTGCTAACAGCACTGACATCCAGAGGCAAACACACACACTTCTGCTAATTCTGATATAAATACAGGTAAAATTGAGATACTGTTCTCCCAATAGTTTGAGGAACAGATTTTCTCAACAAATTAGCAGAAGTCATGTCAAGCAAACTAACAGAAAGAAAACATATGCGAGCAATGTGTACATAAACTTGTACATCTGTTCCTGGCGGTCTGTTTACTGAGAGGGGAGTGATGTATGAGAAAATGGGAAACACATTAACCTGGGTACCAGGATGACCAGCAGGTGCTGAACTTCTCTAACGAAACAAACACATTTATCAACTGGTACACATGCGCATGTGTGGACACCCGTGTGTAAACACAGACCTTTAGACGCACTTGAGTGTTGCTCCATATGCCATCCCCAAAGTCAACCATGAATTCATATGGCGATTAGGCCTTTACAATAACTTACCACAGTAACAACAGTTACCATCGACAAACTATAGCTATTACAGCTGTTAATACTAATGTGAAAAATGAATATGAGATCTCCTTCAACTGCATAAGATGTTTTATGAATGATTTCAATCTGTGATTCATGAATTTCATTACATAAGAACAAAATATAAAATGGTCAAAGTGACATCTTTAATCAAACGATGTTAGTTTTTTTTTTCTTTCAAAACTGACTTTTAACCAACTTCTGATTTAAAAGTGATTCCAGTGGATTTATATGCACTCTGTATATGAAAATAAATATCAACATGATCCACTAACATTTAACAAACAGAAATAATCCAAACACTGTAGTCTTAATTTTGAATAAAATATTTATACTTTTATAACAATTGTGGGTGTGTGGCTTTGTGCTATTTTTATGTTTCTTTTTAATACATAAAGTATCAAACAAAGTATCATATTAATATTACAAGTTAATAATATTATAAGTGTGCAGGTAGTTTTTTTTTAGAGCAACTTAATATCTGCACTTAATATTGCTTCTATTGTAGTCCTATTGAAATATGTTCCATTTTTATTATTTGAAGTGTTAGGTTATATCACCAGATTTCCATTAGTCTTCAAACACATGGTCAAATAAGTTACAGCTAGTGTCTCATAATGGAAAGCTCATAATCATAAACAGTATTCTCCGGACAGAATCAAATAATACAAAACTGATGTATATTAATACACTATGTTATGGAAACGTAACGTTATGTTTTCGCCACAGGACTAAAAATAATTTAAAAAAAGGTAAAGTTTTAACTCACAATACAATTTTCTTGCAGTTCTGAGTTTATATTAGGGCTGCACGATAAATCGCATGCGATATTTAACGCGCATCTTGTCAGAAAGCCGGTAAAGTAGTGAGTGTACAGCTTGTATAACAGTGTAAATTTGCTAAAATCACTTAGGGGTGTACTCACTTTTGTGGCCAGCGGTTTAGACATTAATGGCTGTGTGTTGAGTTATTTTGAGGGGACAGCAAATTTACACTGTTATACAAGCTGTACACTCACTACTTTACATTGTAGCAAAGTGTCATTTCTTCAGTGTTGTCACATGAAAATATATATTAAAATATTTACAAAAATGTGAGGGGTGTACTCACTTCTGTGAGATACTGTATATACAGTGGTGAAAAAAATGAATTATGAGATGCAAACTCAGAATTCTGAGAAAGAAGTCAGAATTGCAAAATAAAAACTGAATTCTGAGTTTTTATGTCACAGTTCTGATTTTTTTTTCTCTGAACTGCGAGTATGCCAGTTTATATCTCATAATTCTGAGTTTATGTCTCTCAAATACCTCGTATTATATAGTCTATGTATGTAAATGTACACATATCATTTTGCTTATAATGTTTTAAACAGTAATTTAACCTTTTAACTCTCTTGATTAAGACATTGGTTTTACAATGTAGGTCAGAACATTCAAGTTCATTACATTCATCCATTGCCATGGGCACCATTGCCATTGCCATTCCCACTGCACTGGATCTTCCCTTTGTGACAGACCTCTCAGTGGTTTCTCTCAGTTCCGTTTATAAACCTACATTCAATTCACAACAAAAGAATGATATAGTGCGCATGTTGTGCGCCAATTACTACTCCGGCAATATTTCATAGCAGTCATGCACAGTGTGGGGGCGTGATGGAGATTTACCGCTGATTACAGAACTGGCTTTACTGACAAGATGCGCATTAAATATCCCATGCGATTTATCGTGCAGCCCTAGTTTATATCTCACAATTCTGGCTTTTTCTCTCACAAATTTTCTTAAAATTGCAAAATACAGACTCAAAATCGCAAGATATATACCCACAATTGTGAGATAAAAAGTCACAATTAATCAGAAGATGTTACTGTAGTTCTAAAATAAATATGAATATGCATTAATTCATCTCACTCTCACACACAAAAAAACAAAGATTCAGTATTCCTCAAAATGAATAAAAATAATGCAACTCAGAATATGACGCAAACCTGCAATAATTAAATGTTAAACAACACAAATATCCTTTATGTATTTAATCCCATTCTATAAACCAATGTCTTTGCTTCTGACCTTCGATGATCCAGTTCAACCGTACTAATAAGCACAAATTACTCTAGACAAACATTTGTGTGTCTTTGTTTATTGCTGAAGTGTGTTGAAATGTCTTCTTCTGCGTTCTACTGTACGGACGTAAATTTACTTTCCCTTCAGCCTGAGACTTATTCATTTCACTTCTGGTGTGAAAAGGCTTTTATATTTGCCAAAAATATAACTTTTTTATTTTAAAAACAAACAAGCAAGCCCTGTCCAGATGTTAGAAAGTAACGCAAAAGTAACCTAACGCATTACTTTCCATAAAAAGTAACTAAGTAACGTAATTAGTTACTATTTTATGGAGTAACGCGATATTGTAATGGATTACTTTTAAAAGTAACTTTCCCCAACACTGGTCATGCACATCAGCACAGCGACCGATAAGTGACGGTGTCGCAACACAAATGACGTGAGTTGATTGAGCAAATGTGAGCTCTTGATAGGGAACAAGAGGGAGAAGATCAATATTTAAGAGCGTTTGACTCGCGAGTGTAGCGTGAAGCGCACGAGCGCATAAAGAACAATGATCCAGCTGACCATGTGGAGCAGCGATGATGATGATGATGATGATGATGATGACGGATCTTAATAGAAATAAACAATGAACACACAGAATGCGCTTCGATCAACGGAAAGGAAACTTTTTTATGCAAATGGTTAACAGTTGCACTATTGAATTCTATATTGTAAGAAGAACCATTTATGATAAACAGCTTTCCAGGGAGAGACTGGTGACCCTCCCTTATTCGACCATGGCTTTGAAGACTGATGGAGGTCTCATGTTAGTACAGAGCAAACTAATGAGTGGTTTGTCTCAAACTAAACAAAAACTTTGACCTAACCCAACAGGCTGCCACCTACTAAATAATGGCTAAATTTGATTTTACTTTGTATTAGCCAATTTTACGTTCACAAAAAGTGCTGAAATAATCGCTATTCATGCAGGTTTTAATTGTGTAAAATAGCTCACTCTCTTTAAAATGAACTTTCAAACTTACTGTTTGTAATGGTGCATCCATTCGCTGTGCAGCTTGTGGTTTTATCCCCCGGGTGTATTAAAAAGCCTTTCTGTTTGTTTGAGCTAAATATTTCCCCGTGCTCTTTTCTGTTGTTTCTTTATAGGTAACACATGTATCTCTCAGTTGTGACAATACACACAGACAGCCGCCCGCATCCTTCCTGTGTCAAGCTCTGCTGTAAACTCACCACTCTGTGCAATAATTCATTCAACTCCGCCCCTTCTTTATATTAGACACGCCCCTATACACGCCGCGCTTAAAGACACAGGACAATTAATACAGCTAGCGTACTATTGACTGGCTGCTTTGCCACTTTAAGCGTCACTATTTTGGTAAACTTTACAAAAACGGTCACAAGGACGAACACGTCCGGGTTATATTTCAGCCTAAAATCAAAGAAACGCATACGAAATTGTATTGTGAAGAAAACGAAGTATATATATATATACAGGGTTTGAAATTAACACCCGCCAACCCGCCAAATGCGGGTAAAAATCAGCTGTGGCGGGTAACGCTGTCAAATCACTAGCCAATTTGGCGGGTTACTTTTCGTAAATTATGTTTACTAATTAATTTCTTGAGGAAGTTCATGTAAGCCAAATCTGCACAGATTTAGTGTAAATACTGAACTCGAGACTCATCATAATATATTAAATAAGCCTAATTGCGCATCATCTGGGCATATCTAGCTTACTTGAACATACCCAGCGATGTAGCTACTGGCCATCGGGAGCACCGGGACATTCCCGGTGGGTCGATCGCCGAAGCGAGGGAGACCTCATATTAGGCGCTGTTTTTAAATTACAGCCCACGCGAAACTGCAAAAAGCACGTACTCCAACAGTGTGAAGCGGCGCTACCCGGTGCATCCGCCAGCCGCGCGTTAAAGCAGAGCGGGATCAGTATCCGGCACAGCACTGCGCTTCCGCCACTATTTATAAGAGATAAACAGCGCAAATCGCTCGATCCATTCAGAAATGACACAGAATTGTGTTATACAGTTGTGTGATATGACAACATTAAAGGTTCTGCCTGAAAACAGCCACGACAAGGTAAAATGCATGTAAACAAACTGCAATGTAAACAAACTTTAATAGCTTATTTCTCTTTAAATGTTTCATTCTAATTAATTTTAGTTTAAGTAAAATGTTAATTCAGTAAGAGCCTGATTAAATATAAAAATCAGTGTCTCTGTAATTTAGAGACACTTATAAATGAGGTGTTTTCCATTTACAAATATTATGAAGTTCTTAAAGGGATAGTTCACCCAAAAATTAAAACTGTCATAATTTAGGCTACTCGGCGCACTGGTTTCCTTTGCATTGAAGCAATAACGAAAAGTAAAAAAATGCCTGAAGACACGCACCGTGTCTACACCAGATGCGACAAAACACTATAGAACCCATTATAATCGGTGATGCGGCCTACACTGGATAACACACACACACATATATATATATATATATATATATATATATATATATAATTATAATTATACAATGTTTTATATATTTACAGTATTACTTTTTTCTTTTGAATATAATGTGACCTAGACATGTTTACATCCGATTTACCCCATAATTAAACTGGATTATTGCTTTTATTTTGTAAATGGTTTCAGATCGGTCTGAGCTTTAGGAAAGCTATTAAAGATGAACATCCTGTTCAGATTAATTTCTGTGCTGCTGAATTGATTTTTTAACAATTAATCCTTAAACAGTCCGTATTGCGTGCAAAAAGGGTGTTACTGTGCCTGCCCTCCCAATGGCCCTGGCTTTGTCTTTGGATGTCTCTTTGAAATGCAGTTAACTTGATAGGGATCTTGCGGGGAACAATTGTTAGTCATTGTGCCATTGAAGGTCTAGTCAGTGCCCGCAGGGTTTAACTGTTGTTTGTATATTCACATAAATCAATTTGCAAAAGGCCACTGTGTGTAATTTGCACCTCATACATGCGCCTAAAGAGGAGTATCCTCTTGCAGTTCAAGGCCTTTGGCACTGTGTGTACAGAAGAAAGGCATGTTTGAACAGTGAGATCACTATCTGCTCTCATCAGGCAAACAGTATGGTCATATATCACTGTTTTTTTGTTTTTAAACCTGAACCATCAGTGGCAGTTACATAGTAAAAGATGCAGCCATTCACATGTTAAATGACATGAATGGAACAGAACATTACTAGAAGTCTTTCATGGTCAGAATTGGATAAACAATGTGACAGACAGTACATTGAGAAAGTCTGATAGTCACAATCTTGCATCATGCAGTTAATGTCCTTAACATTATATATGTGTTGATTTATTTTCATATACTGATAAAGCATACTTGTAATGTTTGTAGGTATGATTATTGATGGGTTTTGTCTGCGTATGCCACACTAAAAGCTTGGCCTCTCCTCCTTACTGGGTTATTATTTCTCATCTCTCTTGTGACATCTCTGCTCTTACCCCGATGTCCAGATCGATGCTTTCCGGCCTGGAATAAAGAGATTATCTCCAGGCGAACTCTCCCACATCTAAGCTCAGTTTCTTCGGATGTTGAATGATTCAGCGCTTACTTACCCATTCTCATCTGGCCCAAATCTATCTCCACTGTAGCTGCAGGGGAATGAGGCAAGAGCTGCTGAAACGATTTTGTTCTTTCTTTTCTTTTCAATGTCAAAACAAGTAGAGTCATGCATTAAATGAGACTAAAATATATACCCTAGTTATTGACTAGCACTATAATAGCCAAAATTTACTGTAAAACTGGCTGCTGTGTGTGTCTGTTATATTATATTATATGATATGATATGATATTATATTATATTATATATGCCGAAAACCTGGACTTTCCATGAACTATGGTTAAAAAAACATGTTTAGACCGGGCACAGTGTTGCCACACAAACACAAGACACTAAAATAATGTAGTAAACATCAACTAAATTATGCAAATAGAACACAAAACCCCATAATGTACATTACTGATAATACATATTCAAAAAAGTTATATATTTATATAAATAAAATAAGTAAAATATTAATATATACCTACAAATTAAAAATAAGCAATTTATGTAATCTAATGTGATGTTATATTTAATACGTTTTACTTCTACAAAACAATTTTTACAGTATTTCACAGTAAAATGACATTATTGTGTTTTAAAAAAAATATTTCTTATATCCTATATATACTATATTCCTTGTAACAATAACGACTATTACATTGTTACAAAAGATTTCTATTTCAAATAAATGCATTTCCTTTAAACTTTCTGTTCATCTAAGAATCCTGAAAATATTAAGGTTTCGACAAAACTATTTAGCAACACAACTGATTTAAATATTGAGAATGATAAGAAGTGTTTCTTGAGCAGCAAAGCATATTATAATGATTTCGGACGGATCACGTGACACTGAAGCCTGGAGTATTATGCTGAAAATTCAGCTTTACGTCACAAAAATACATTACATTTGAAAATATAGTCAAATACAAAGCAGTTATTTTAAAGTGTAATAGTATTTGACACTATTATTGTTTTTACTGTATTTTCTATCAAATAAATTCAGCTTTGAATAAGCATGAGAGACTTTCAAAAATATTTAACATTTTACCGACCACAAGCCTTTGGTAAATGAGGTAAATAGAATTTTACTGTACATTTTTCCTCAAAAAAAAAAAAGAAGTAATTTTTCTGAACCTTCAAAAGCCAAAGCAAGACATCAACAAAAACACTGAAAAATAGAGTAATTTATTTTAGATATGAACCATGCCTTGGTCCAATATATTTCATCAAGTTTTGTACAGTGATAGTCACCTCACAGAGAACAAGACAGGAGATATTGTGAATCATGATCAGCATAGTTTTCAATTCCTTTAAAATAGTTTCCACATAAGACTGCTGCTGATCTTCTTAAGTTAGAGTATAAAACCAATCGATTATAAATAAATTAAGCATATCTGCTGACATACACGGAAGCATACTGTATGTGTACACTATGTCAAAATGTGAACCGTAAAAACACATTCTACAATATATTCAGAGAAGTACATACAATGTCATTTGAAAGAGCAGACATTTTTATCAGTCTCTGAGCAACGGATCCCGAACGTGAGACTGACTCGATGATGTTTTTGACTCATCTGTACAAAATCAACTGACACAGTGTGAAGCTCGTATGCTAATGATGAAGATTTCATGTGCACTTCCTATGGAAGATATCGACCCACACAGTATCTTTACACTGCTGCGTCCACATTTGCATGTGCACAGACATTTTGAGTGATCATTCTTAATCACGTGAGTATTATTAAAGGGATAGTTCACCCAAAACTGCAAATTCTGTCAACAAAAGATGATATTTTGAAGAATGTTGGTAAACAAACAGTTGACGGTAGCTACTGACTTCCATAGTATGGAAAAATACTATGGAAGTCAATGGCTACCGTCAACTGTTTGGTTACCAAAATTCTTCAAAATATTTTTGTTTGTGTTCAACAGAAGAAAGAAACTCGTGCAGGATTGGAACAACTTGAGGGTGAGTAAATGACAAAATTTTGGGGTAAACTATACCTTTAAGATACTCATTTTCTTTTTCCAAACGCATTATTATATCCTCGAAGACATTATAGATGAGACATCATTTGCTAACATAAATGCAAGTGGCCTTGTATTGAAATTCCATATCGCTATAAAATTACGTTTCCCTTTCTGCTTCTCAGTGTTCAGTTGGTTTAAGAAGCAGAAAAACTCTCTCAGAGACTGATATTGGCACAAATTCACATTTGTTACACTTTGCTTAATGCAAATGCATGATTAATACATCAATATATTTTGCATTGTTTGATTATATCTTGGGAATAGTGTGTTATTTTCCATGAAAAGTGACATAAGCCTTTCTTTTTTGTCCATGGGTTTGAAAACTGAAGTTTGATGATGGTAGCACCAACTAATGGGTGGTGATCCTCAACAAACTGTACAAAAACATTGACCCAATACTGACGATAAATCATGTAGAATAAAATGCATTTAGTCACATAATGAGTCAAATTTCCATTCCAAATATATCAAAATAGGATGAAAATGACACAGGCCTTATCCTTTGCAGCCTCTCCTTGGCTGGACAAAAGCAAATAGTAAGCAAAAAAGAAAAAAAAAGGTCCTGCATGAATCCTATAGAAATTCCATACTTTTTCCTCC